GGGAGGCTTTGCTCCCCGTCCAGCCCCTGATGCTGGCTCCAGGCGTGGGAGCCTCCAGAGCCCTGGGCTTGCTTACTCTGGTGGCTCGGCATGCCGCGGGGCCCGGGCAGGCTGCTTGCAGCTGGGCAGCGCTGTGAGCGCGCTGGGCTGCCGGCCCCGGGGGGCAGTGCGGACAGGGAACTGCCAGCCAGGCTGCAGCCACGACCGGAGGGAAGGGAAATGCTTTGCCATGAAAGCCGAGGTGGGCAGGGTGTGATGGGAATAGTGAGAAGCTGGTGTGACCCGGAGATCCTCTGTAAGGCTTGCACAACATTGCCGATGCTCTGCAGCAGCTTGCTTTGCACCAAAACCCGCCACAAGCAGCCCCTGAAGTAATGTAAATGAAAGCAAGGATTTAGTGGGAAACGGCAAACACTGCGGAAGAGTCCCCCACACCCAGCTGGGTCTGCAAATCCAGCTGTGTAAAGTCTCACATTCCCATGGGCTGCAGCAGGGGAAAAGCCCCCATGGCTGCTGGTGCCAGCAAGGGGGATGCCACGGCGTGATGGGGCACAGGGGCTTAGCGAGGGGCAGCACTGCAGGGGAAGCAAGAAGGTAGAGTGGACCAGCTGAAGGGTGGAGGAGAAGGGTGAAGGAGAAAAGACAGTTGAGCAGGATAAGAACAAACAGAATGATTTCAGCCGCTGTTGGTGAGCTATTCCAGGCAGGGCCTTTGTGGGTTAGTATCAATTGGGGCATGCAGGGTCTACACCCCTGCTGAAATCGGGGCAAAAGCCTTGTCTGTAGATAGCCCTGGCAGTGAGGAACTCACAAAGTAAATTGATGAGACAGAGCATGCCCAAAAGATATTTTTCCCAGTTTGCAGCCAGAGAACTGGGCAAGTGTGGCAAGGCTAAACTGACTCAAGGTCACAGAGCAAACCTCTGGCAGAGGGGAACAGAAGCCCAGCCCAGCTGGTAGCTTATGGAGCTCAGCCCTCGTGTGCCTTGGGGCTGCTTTGGCTGACAGACTGCCACTGCAAGGCACAGAGCCGCCAGACGGCTGGACAAAACGCTCCAGCATTTGATACAGACATGAGTAAGAGGTCATGGTCTCCTCTGGGTACTCAAGGGCACTTGCTTGCCATGTCTGAACGTGGAGAAACTTGTTTCTTGTATCACACAGGAGGGAGGAAAACCACTCCTTGGTTCCTGCCAGCTGCTAGAGGCTTCAAGAAGAAAACGTTCTACACAGATTTAACTGGATTTTTCTGCCCTGTTGCCAGGACTGCAGCACATTGCTTCTCCCAGGATTTTCTTCAGTTCATTTCACTCACCCTTCAAAACATCTAACTTCTGCTTGCTTTTCATCCTGCAGGTGTATGAACTGGATGGCACCCAGCACAATAAGTCATGGTCCGTGGCAGCCTATCGGGAAGTGACCAGGCAGTTTGTGAAGGAGCACCCGGACTTTCTGGGAGCCAAGATTATATTTTCAGCACACAGGTGGCGGCTGAGTGGGGCTAAGAGCAGCTGTGCCTGGCTGGCTGTGCTACAGTGGAGGCAGGGAGAGAGGGGTCCTGGCCAGGAGGAGCGATGCTGAGGGCTGGGCCGAAGTGCCACAGTTGGTTAGCAGTGCCCCAGAGCGCTGACTCCCGAAGCATTCCCTGGCACTCTGTAAAAGGCTGAGGATGAGAAAATATCTATATAAGTCTGCGTACGTGCAAAGTGACCAGGATCAGCTCATGGCACGTGCTGCACAGGCAAGCATCTGTGAGCCCTGGGCGCAGGACTAAGCAAGAGGAGGGCTGCTTGTGTGCCTGCTGCCTTCCTGAGCCTGGATTCACTCAGTACTGCAAAGGTCCTGGTGGGACCCTGCAAACACGGCTCCCTGGGCAGCCTTTGTACGGTATGTTCGTGCTGCTGCTCGCGGGCGGGCACAAGGCTGTTCTCCAAGTCAGCCAGATGCCGTGAAGTCATACGAGGTGATCCTGAGCAAATTTAACAGAACTCTCAGCAGCACTTACTCACTCTGGCTCCGCACGATGCCGTTCCCAGTTCAGAACTGGCGTGCCTCTGGCCACCTTTGGTATGGACAGAGTCTGTCTGCAAAATGCACTATGATGTTTAAGTCCGATAGAGCTGGAAGAAATCTAAATTTAAAACTCTCATGAAATGCAACTACTGTCCCACCTCCCAGCAAAACAGTCGAGAGGGAAAAAAAGAAAAAATTTAAACATTTTCTCTCCATGCTGTTTTGTTCCCTGCTTGGTAGATGGAAAAGCCAGTGAGTCAGACAAGCATGCCTCAACTCAAGTGACAGCAGGGTCTAGCCAGGCATTTCCTGGTCATTCAGGGGTTTCCTTTCATAATATCAATTTTCTACTGCTGTTACTCTGGAGACCTGAAGCTGGTTGTCAGATTCAGAAGCAACTTGCATTTTGGAAATACCCCTGGGGGCCCCATTTCACAACTCAAACCCAAAGAAGGCAGGCCCGTGGGAGTGAGCCTCTGCACTGCTTTCTTTCTCTTGCTTTTTAGGATGCTGAATGTTTCCCAGATTAAAGAAGCCATCGTCACTGCCATGGCACTCAGAGCCAAATTCCCAGACACCCTGGCAGGATTCGACCTGGTAACCATATTTCTTCTGTGCCTTCATGTTAACCCCTAGAGGTGTGACATAACTACATGTATAATATGGCATATGCTTTATACCACAGCCAGATCCTCTGCTGCTGTACTGAAATCAGTGTAAATGAATTGTAAATCCTCCAGCTAAGGATTTTGTGGAGGGTAATTGACAAAATCCCCTGAAAGAATCAGCTCCCCATCCACAGCACTGTAGTTTTGGTACAGTTGGTACCTCAGTGATCCATAGCTGTTAAGTCCCACCACCTCCAGTGCATGTTCAAAAATACCTTTCCTGTTTCCCCCAGGTTGGTGATGAGGATGAAGGTCATTCTCTATGGGACCTGAAGGATGCCCTGACTATCCCGTATTCCCTGGGGGCCAACTTGCCATACTTTTTCCATGCTGGGGAGACTGGTAAGCATGAGGACTCAGGGCCTGTTACTGCTTGCAGAGGGAAGAGGTGAAGTCTTGCAAAACACAGAAGCTGCAAGCCTGGCTGTGTGGAGGTGATGTGTGTGTGGACACACATGTATATAACTGGTTTTCTCCACGCTTCTCTCTCTATCAGCTTGTTGCCATAGCACTCCTACATGGCACATCCCCTACCTGCTCTTGACTATAGGCATCATGCTGCTCCATGTCTTTGCCCTGTGTGTGACACGGAGTCAGGCTGCGAGAATTATTGCTGGCAGCCTTCTCCTCCTCAGAGCAACACTCACCTCCCATCCACAGCAACAGCAGAATTCCTCAACCAGTATTTTACATTTTAAGGTGAAGGAATGTTTGAGCTACTCTCAAGTCTTAATTCAATACATTCATCAAAGTTACCCCCCATTCCGGGGGCAATGTATAACTATTGGCAAGACATTATTCAGTCCATATGCATGGGATTTATCTTAACCATTTGTGACAGTTGTGTCTAATTTGTGTATCATGCTTATTGCATGTTGACATCTACAGAGAAGATGCCTAACATCTGAACTAGTTATCCTAGGCTCCCCTTATAGCCAGGGACAGCAACAAGCACTTCTAAGGTGCAGTACAGCTCATCCTAATGTGCAGGCTGTTCCCCAGAAATTATTCATTCTCTCCGTTGACTATGAATGGAGACCAGCATGGTTAGCTTGGCTGTAAGAGCAATGTGTGGGCATCTAAAGCCACGTGAGATGTGTGGGTATCTCTGTGCTGGGCAATGTCCTGGGTAGATTTGGATCCCTGTTGCACTGAAAATGCAAAGCGGGAACCCAGCCCATGAGCAAACCTATCAGCTTGTGACCTGGACATTTATTAACAAAATTATCTAGCAGCTTGAGAAGATATATTTCCTCACAGCACCACAGTGATTCTTACCTGTCTCTGCTCAGACTGGCAGGGCACCTCTGTAGACAATAATGTCCTGGATGCACTGCTACTGAATACCAGCCGGATTGGCCATGGACTCGCCCTTATAAAACATCCAGTAGCCAAAAATTTGTCTCTGAAGAAGGATATCCCTGTAGAAGTCTGTCCCATCTCCAACCAGGTATGCTAGTAAAAGCCTTGGCCTCAGGGCTGGGACACTGGAATGGGATTTACCATAGCAGCCAGGAGCAGCAGGGAGCAGACAGATGTTTTGTTGCACCCAGGCTGGCTCAGTTTCCTTTGTGCCATGTTACGCTGCAGGCAGCTACATAGACACATGCTGTGTATATATAAGGCTTGTAATGCCAGTCAGCTCAAAATCATTTAAATTCCTGTCCAGAGGAACTTGGGAAGGCAGTCTTCTCTAGTGGAGATGAGGCCCAGAGCCAGGGAGGTGTCTAAAGAGACATAATGGAAAACACTTCAAAGCCAGGAGAGCCAGAGGCTGAGAAACCGGGATTGTAACTGGAAGTCTTTTGGTTTTGTTGTGTTCATAACCAGGGGGAACTCTTTTACAACACATTAGCATGGTGCCTATTGTCCCCTGGGTGCAGCAGAAAGGATGCTCTGGGGTAGAGATGTAGCAGTGTGAGCCTTGAGGGAGAGAATCCCAATACCAGCTCCAGATGCCCTGGGCCTTTAAGCATCATGGCAAATACATAACCAAAAGACTCTTCCCAAAACTCTCGCAGTCAAATTGTTATAAATAAGCAGAAGTTATTCACCCCACTGGCCTTGATTCTGGGGATTAATTTAAGAAAACAATCTGCTTGCATAGTCAGCGGAGGCAAGGAGGCTGCTCCTGCCGCAGCTCCAAGCAGAACCCCTAACATGCTCTGAACAGTCCTCTGGAGATTCTTCCTCCCTGATGGCTACCTGTTGGCACAGGGCATGCAGTGCCACGGGTGCTGTAATGCAAACGTGGCTACAGCAATAACGTGATGTTATAACCCCTCCCTGCTGAGGTCCTGCTGTTGGTAGGTGACTTGCGGAACCACCCTGCTGCTGGCCTTATGGCTGAAGGACACCCCGTTGTGATCAGCCCTGACGATCCCTCCATCTTTGGGGCAAAGGGAGTGTCCTACGACTTCTACGAGGTGTTCATGGCCGTTGGAGGAATGAATGCTGACCTGAGGACCTTAAAACAACTTGCACTCAACTCCATAAAGTAAGTTCCTCACTTCGCTCATCTAGCCATAGTAATGCTAAAGGGACTTCCAGCTTGCTACCTGGAAACCCACTGTGTTCAGGTTTTGGCCCTAGAGTCTCCTCTGCCACATGAACCCAAAGCCTCCACAGTGCATGCATCTCCTCCAAGGGCAGGACACAGGGACCCCAGAGGCTCCCCTGCCTGTGCCCTTGAGTGACTTTCTCTAACTCAGCATCTCAGTTTATTCCTCCTTTTCCATCCTTTGCAAACTCACCTCCGGTACTTGGTTCTGGGTATGGGGAAAAAAATCTCATGGCTTTGTATAATTTGGCTATTTCTGTCAAAATTTGACTTGCTGCAGTGTTTGCCATGGTCCACTGGGGAAACACAGGAAAACAATCTACCAGCATGTAGCTTGGGTGTGTTTAACTGCTTTTTCTATTTATCTGGACAGGTCTGAATGTTCCAAAATAGCTTGGCTATGGTGCCCAGGGTCTTTCTGCAAATTCCTAGACTTTGTCCATTTGCCAAATCTCATGCCAATCCTCATGTCAATCACAAGTCCCCATATGGCCAGGGAAACAACAAATATTCCTGTTTCTTACCAATTTGGACCAAGCCCAAGGCACATTTGAAAGCAACAGCAGCGCTGTCTCTTCTACACTAGTCACTGGGTGCCACCCAGCGAGTCTGCAGCTTATTCAGACTGAGCTGTTCGTCCTCGTGGTGCAGGACTCGGTAGCTGTCGACATGGCCAGGGTGCTTCTTGTCCCAGTGTGAACCCAGCTGGAAGGAGCTCAAGGCTCTTTACACTGTGTTACTCTGTGCAGTGTAGGCATGTCCTGCAAGGGTTAATCTGTTGCTCCTTCCTGCCTTTTCGTTTTGGTCACTAATCTTGAAATAGCTGCCCCCTCGTCTCCTGTCTGATACTGACTTTTCTCCTCCTCACAGATACAGCGCCATGCTACCAGATAAGAAAGCCAAGGCCAAAGAGGTCTGGCAGAAAAAATGGGACCAATTTGTGGCTGACCTCTCTGATAGCTTTTTGAGGGAGCTTTAAAGGGAGGAAACTCATCACAGAAGGCATTTGGCAAGCCAGAGCCAGACAGGCCTGTTGCTAAAAGAGAGACTGCTTCTTCCATGTGACCTGAGCAGATGAACAAACCTCAAAATCTCACCTGGCAGTGGGTGATTCTTAATGCCAAGAATTGAGCTGCACTGTCCTGTGAAAACCATGGACTGGTGGTAAAAGGGAGCAGTGAGCCTTTATAGCAACAACAAAAGAACACCCCACTCAAAACAGAACAATGAAACATTGCTAATGGCCAAATCCTGACATCCTTATTCAGGAAAAACACGCTTCCTAATTAGAGTTAGCGAGAGATTGCCAACATGAGGATCTCTGAATTTCACCTTATCATTACAAAATGCAGACCTTGTCCAGAGACAGCTAAGACAAACATCCAACCATTTGGGCCACTGACCTTCAGGACAGCAAGGACTGAAAGTGACTCTTGTTATGTTTAACCCTGGGCCTGCTGCCAAAATAGCACTGCTAGGTTGAAGAACCAGTCATAGGTCTGATGTCTGCTATTTCAGGACCTACCATGGCTGGAAACATGCTAATGGAACTTGCTCCTAGAACATTTAAGCCTGGTTGCACAGTGATTAAAACACCAAAAAGAGGGACCTCAGTCGCTGACAATTTTTTTTTAACTGCAAATCTTTTCCTGTCCTCTGGTCACAAGGAAGCCAAACTACTTTTCAGCTAGCATAAAAACACCCTGGCTTCCTAGATCCAGCTTAATTTAAACTGCTCCCCTACACTTAGCAGTGGCCTGTGATAACGTGGTCCACGTTATCACAGGCCACTGCATTTATAGGAAACACCTTTTGATTTCAGAGGGTTCCACTCCCAGCATTTGTCACCTAACTCAAAGCACAAACGTGTCCTTATTTAGCCTGTCAGACAGATTCTCACCTTGGTGGAGAACTACCCTCACACTGTGGGAACCCACAGTGTTCACTCAGACCTCTGTAGTTTCCAGCTCTTTGGCAAAATGCCAAAGAGTATAGTTGCAGCAACTACACAATAAATAGTATCTGGGCAAGCAGATTCTCTTTCTTAACATCATCAAAAATGTCAGGAGAAGAACAAGTTGCAGGGAGGTTAAAAAAAGGAAATCTTAATCAGGATGCTAAATAAATTCAGCAAAACCCTTTGGCACACATAACCCAAGCACACAGCCAGGATCAATGATCATCTCTCCCAGATTCCAGTACAATTATGCTGGCCTGCATCAGCCAAGGGAGAATTTACAAAAGTTCCTGCTG